GGACGCGTTCCTTAATGTGACCAATAGGTGACTCCAGGTGAGGGTCTCTACTACCAGGACCTGAAGGTCGCAGTGTGGGACATGGTTCGTGAACCTTTGTGGTGAAGGGTTAGCTTTGGTCAGGACTGGGGGAAGCTCACATCAGACTGGTCTCATGGTTGATCCAGCAGCTGAGATGCTCAAAGGTTCACTGAGACACATGGTGAATGGTCTGAACTGATACACACTATTAGTGAGTTTCTCATTCACACATTCATCAGAGCAGGTATGGAAGCTGCTGCCTGCCATCGGGAGCAACTTCAGGTTCAGCATCTTGCCCAAGAACACTTCAGCTGTGGAGGGGATCGAACCGCCGACCTTGTGATTGGAGGACAACCCGCTGTACCACCTGAGCCACAGATACGATGTGAAGCAGCTTCCTACATACATTTTGTTAAAGTTTTAGTTTGTCTTCCAGCTGTAGATTTAAAGCAGAAAGTTTTCCTCAGAAGAAATCTCTCCACAGCTGTGACTGCGTTTCAGTAACAGGCTTTACGCTGAGCTGCTGGATTAATCACACTAAAGGTGAAGGACGTCTTCCTGACTCACCTTCTGCACAAACAACCATTCATGGAAATATCTGCGGAAATCAGATTTATTTCCCAAAAGAGTCGAGACGTTTTGAACTGTTGTGACTGTAAAGGTGCAACAAGTCCAGGCAGGTTGTTTTCAGTGTTTTGGGGACAGGAGGTCAGAAGGTCACACGTTTCTGTCGCTTATCTCAACCTGCATCAGAGACGAATGTATAAATGCACAAGGCCGCCGCTGAGCACACAGCAGCAGCCTTGTGCTTGTTATTTCCTCCCTCAGCCCTTCGTATGTTTCTGCCCTCGAGGCGATCGTTTCAGGGTCTGCAGACGTCAGCACATGCGTGTTTTCTACATCAGATTATAAATGAGGTGTAAATGATTCCCGTCTCTAAAGCTCTGACCTTCAGTAGAATCTAACCTCTGGAGTCACATGTGACGTCCCTCCACCTCTGACCTCCGAGTGCCAGCCTCTTCTGCCCGGTTCCTCTCCTCCTCCCTCGGTGCTGTGTGAGCTGTGGACAGGTGTGCTGGTTCTGCTGATTGCCTGAATGCTGCCACCTGCAACAGGGCGTGGTCGTTATTAGCAGTTCACTCCTGCCTTCCACATAAGCTGACTGCAGACCAGGACACGACGCCGGACCGTAGACAGTTCTGGTTCTGATCTGCTGGTAAACTCTCCGTACCCTTCAAACCTCGCTAACCTGCTCTCTGTCTGCCCCAGTGTGGACCCACCAGGACCTCCTCCAGCTCTTCTCACATCTCTTGATGAACGTTTCAGCAGATGGGACGGCGGTCTCGTGCTCCTGAACCTGGAACAACAGTAGCTGGGAGCCGAGGGAACGCTGGGAAGGAGGCAAACCAGAGCAAGAGTCAGTCAGGGAGTCATGAGCATAATCACCCCAGAGCAACTGCAAACTCCAAGCAGAAGGTTGTCTGCAGTTACACATCTCAGCAAGGTCTCCAGTGATTGGTGCCCAGAGCCGTACAGATCTCAGACGGCAGACTCGTGGCGCTAATTTCTGCTAATTTGACCAAACCTGTGATGTACTTCAGGTGACTGAGGAAAGAGTTTTCTACATTTCAGCATCAGTACTGATCCAAAAATATCACAGAGAACAGAAGACAGAGTTTGTGTGCCAAACCTAAACGACATCTTTGTCATTCAGAGTCCAAACCAGAAGCCTGGAGCTTGATTCACAGCCTTGAACTGGACGAGCAGACTCCTGCTTCAGCACTACGCTGTCCTCACTTTCCTCCTTCACATTAACAATAGAACAGAAAGTAAAAACAGAACGGATGAAGTGGTCCTTTGTTTACTTCCACCTGACAGGAAGTCAGACGGTGAATCAGACACACCTGGTAGCTGCTAACAAAGGCAGCATGGAGGACAACAGAGAGAAAGGAGAGCTGGACAAAAGGATTGTTTAGGAAGACAACCAGCTTCAGCTCATCGTTGCTTTAAACTGTAATGTATTAAAGTAAATGGATTTGTGAAGGTTTAGGACTGGATTTTACACCTCTTTAGCTGCTCCGGGTCTCCTTTTATCTTCCCAAATCCCCGGGTGTCTTGTTTAGGGTGCATCTCCCACCAGGCCTCCCATAAACTCACCTGAAATGCACTAAATGATCATTTCTAACTGACCGTATTTGGGTCATTGTTCTTCTCGTAGGAGTTTTTGATTTTCCTCATCAACGTGCTGACTGACTGTGTTTTATGTGCCTTTGCTGACATAACCGGGCCTTCGTCTCTCAGATACTTCTGTGTTTGTTAATGGTTTCAGTTTATATAACCTCATTAGATTAATGAAACTGAATTGATGGCTGCTCTCCTTCTGACTCGTGCGGTTTTGCAGCGATGGAAATAAGCGATCCCTCTCATTTGCTTAGAAAATATCTTTCAGGTTAATAATAATAGTCTTTATTCGTCTGCCCCTTCAGAATATTCGGGACACATCTACGCTACAACGATGATGAAAACAGAGTCAAGTCCAAACTTCAAGAGAAGCTGCAGGTCAAGTTGTTGCTTCCAGAAGCTTTTCCTCTGAGTTTATTGAATGTCTGCGACTTTAAACAGGATCCACATGAGCGTCTCCAGAGAGAAACGAGTTGTTTTTTAAAATGTGCACAACTCTTTCTTTAGAGACTTTTTCTTTCTCATGTTTACAAAAAGATCTGAAACTTCAAG